TTTTTACAAACATACCATTTATTTTGATCTTTTCCTCTGACTTTTTCTTATGAGAGCTTTGAGATATAATTCACATACCACATAAAATCTATCCTTTTAAAGTATACAGTTTCATGGATTTTAGTATATTCATAGTGTACAACTATCACCACTACCTAATTCCTGAATATTTTCATCACCCCAAAGAGAAATCCCATACCCTTTAGCTGTCACTCTTCATTCTCTCCTTTCCCCATTTTCCCCATCTCCCAAACCCCTACTGTCTATATGGATTTGCTTATTCTGGACATTTCATATAAACAGAATCACACAAAATGTGAATTTTTGTGTCTGACAACTTTCACTTGGCATAATGTTTTCAAGATCATGCCATGTTGTATGTATCGATAGTTTGTTCCTTTTTTATGGCCACCTCCTGACTTATGGGTAGTTGCCTTCTCACTGTGTACTCACATAGCCTTTCCTCAGTGCCTGAGTATGGAGAGAGTCTCTAGTCTCTCTTCTTTTTATAAGAACATTAATCCTATTATGGGAGTCTGCCCTCATGACTTCATCTAACCCTAATTACCTGTCGAAGGTCCCCACTCATAATATCATCACATTGGTGGTTAGGGCTTCAACATAATGAATTATAGGGAGACACAAACATTCAGTCCATAACAGCCTGCATTACTTTTTTTTATTGTGGTTAAAAGACACATAACATAAAATTTGCTATCCTAATTATTTCTAAGTGTATCATTCAGTAGTGTTGAGGATAGTCACATTGTTGTGCAACTGATCTTGTTTTTTTGTCTTGCAAAACTGAAAATCCATACTCATTAAACAACTCCTCATTTTCCCCTTTCCTAGTCCCTGGCAACTACCAGTTTCTGTTTCTATAAATTTGACTGCCCTAGATACTTCATACAAGTGGAATCATATAGTATTTGTCTTTGTGACTGGCTTATTTCACTTATGTCCCCATGGCTCATCTGTGCTATGGTATGTGACAGAATTTCTTTTTAAGGCTGAATAATATTTTATTGTATGTATATACCACATTTTGTTTATCCATTCTTCTGTCCATGAACCCTTGGGTTGCTTCCACCTCTTGGCTGTCATGAATAGTGCTGCCATGAACATGGATATGGCCTCCATTCCTCTTATTCAACTTAATGGTGCCTACTGTAAGGATACCTAAAGCAGGAGGCTTAACCCTTAGTCTGGGTCACTTAATGCAACTGAGAAAATTTACTGGGACTTCATTGTTTCAGTCTTTTTTAGTCTTGCCTCATATTACCTAGGGTCTAGAAGCAGTTGTTTTTTCCAACCCTTCAAAACCTAAAACTTCTGAGCTGTCTTTATTATCTTTCATTTCTCCTTGAAAACTGGTCAATTCTTTCCTGTACTCATCTCTTTCCTGCAATATTTTGCCTAAGGAAGCTTTTCTTGTTCATGTTACAGTCTGATGTGGGTTGAGGGTGGGGTGCTCTGCTCCACGTTATCATTCAGGGCCCAGGCTCCTTTCCTCTGGTGGCTCTCCGACTCCAAGGCCTTATCCTCTTCTATACTCTGCTGGCAAAGAGAGAGAAAACAGGGACAGTTTCACAGGAAGGCTTTTAGGTGCCTGACCTGAAAGTGTGGTATAGGTTCTTGACCTCATTCCATTGGCTAGACTTGGTATTACAGCCCTGCTTAACTGTAAAAGGAAGTGGGAAATATAATCTTGCTCTATTCCTAAGGGAAGGAAAATAAGGTCTGGTGAACATACAGTGGCCACTACCACAGTCTACAGTTAAATTTGGAAGTGACAGAATATAGGTGATTGAAGCCATGAGTAAAGATAGGCATCACCCCATACAGGATATAATGAGAGACTGTCACAAAAACAAGGGCACTTTCTGGAGGGCTTGTAATGGTAAAAATAGTTTATGTAACCCAACTTTACAATATTTAGGAAAATTACTATGTTTGTAGGAAAGGTTACATATGTAGATTAAAAATAGAAAAGTCGCTTTTTCAGAAACCGGAATGTTTTCACTCCAAGTTAAACAGAAAAAGAATATATTATCATGATTATTTTATGACTATTGAAGCCTGTGAATTTAAAACAACTCTGAATTTTAGAAATAGTGAAGTAAGTAAAGATTTATTTTTTATCATTTGTTTAGTGCTTATTTTTTGAGCATTTACTATGTGACAGGCAGCCTGAGGATTATAACAATAAGTAACAATCCCTCAAGAAAGATCAAATTTAGTAGGAAAAAAAATAAAGCAAGTAAATAAATACCTAAAACATCAGGTAGAATCTTTAAGAACACAGGAACTGTTTATCTAAAATGTTACACCACCAGCGTGGCAGTTTGGAGGTGAAAGAGCATTGGTTTTGAAGCTATAAGCAGATCCAGATTTGAATCTCAGCTCTGCTACTCTCTCTGTAACCTTGGGAGAAGTTATTAACATCTCTGGACTTCTAGTTTCTTTAATTTCTAAGTTGGTGATAGTAATACCTACCTTTCAGGTTGTTGTGAAGATGAGATGTATTATGTATATACATAAAGCCTATGTCTACATAAATACACAGTGCTTGGTATTACAGATATGGTAGATATCTTTATTATTACTATTGAAGAAGATGGAGTTCATATTGGATTGGAAGAATGACAATTACCTTACACTAACTCGTGAGTTCATTCACTCAGTAGTTATTTAGTGAGTTATTACTATGCATGAAGTAGTTAAAATTAGACCATATATATGTCTGTATTTTCAAGAGCCCCGTTCAGTTTCGGATACAGTAATGTTTGTAGCACACGTCTACAGCCACCAGGCTTATGTACTGCCTTTCCCTTTTTCAAATGACCAGAGACCACTCTGTCCCGCCTGGCACTGTCCTTATCCTCTTTCTTTGTTAGAGGCAGCTGCCTGACTTATTATCCCGCAGGATATCTGCTTCCCCTGCCCACCCCTCTATTTTTCATTAGTGGCATTTCTACTAATGCAGCATCTTTTTTCTCCATGTATAATTCTTCCCTAGCTTCCTTCCTTAAGCTTATTTTTTTCATTTTTTTCCAGTTATCTCAGGAATAATTCACCACCTTCTTTTGTCTTTGCTAGTTCATTTTCCTTCTCACACCATGGATAGCTTTAAGATTATATCTCTTATGGATACCCAGAGGTTTCTCTTTACTGATACTAAAGCTGACACTGATGCCATTGTCCGTTGCACATATACTCTGAGAGGTGCTCTGTTGAGCCTCCCATCCTCCAGCAGTTCTCCTGTAAACTAATTGGAGAAAAGGACCAGGTGTACACCTTTCTGAATTCTCAAAACAGCCCTTTGCATGCAGGAAATGGCTTATAAATATTTGTTGATGAGAGAGAGGAAGAACAGTTACCTCGCACTGAAAATAATTTTTTAAAAATATTTCATGTGCAATTGTACTTTGTTTCATTGTCAGTATTGCAGCAATATTCCTTTTTCATGATAAATATAAATAGCCTCACTTCGATATGGATTAAATGTGCTTTTGTGGGATGAGTTAAGAACTATTTATTACATTATTTTTATGGCGGATTGGATTCTAAGTTCTAAATAACTGTCTTTACAAAACAATTTGACACATAATTGTTCAGAATTGTTCCCTTTCAGTAATTTATTTTTTAAAGAGAATTTAGTTTTTAGTGAATGTGCCTTGTTTCTCTTTTTCTTCTTTAATGAGCGTCTTCTTGTGCCATTTGCTGAAAATAAAGATTCTCCAGCTTTCTCAGTTTTAGGGTATGAGGTAATTGCTAGAGCCAACTGGAAATAGATCCGAGATAAACAGATGCAGTGCGTTGCTGATGTCAGAGGACTATGACTACTGAGGGGCAGACATGCCACTATAACTAAAAACGGTCATTGACTGGAGAATATACAGATATAGAGAGAAAATTTTACGTTTGTTATTGTTACTTAATATACTATATTATTCTAAGGACTTGCCTATCATTAATAAGTTTAAAAACAATATATATGTTATGACATATCCATACCTATCCTGCCACTGCTCCAATTAGGATTTGTGTGCCTCTTCCTGGACCATTGTCCTTGTCTCCTCTGTGTGTCCCATCCATGGTCCTTCCCCATCTAAGCCACCCACCACTCCCAATTCCCTTTAATCTTCCCTTTACTGTTGTTCTTCATAAACTCAATGCTAATCAACCTTTATTTTTCCTGATTTCCCCTGCTTCCTTCCCTTCCTCTCTTACTTCCTCCTTCCATTTCTCTATATCTATTTTTTGTTTCTTTCACTTTTAGAAAAATCAAAACAAAGCGAACACACAGAAAGTTTTTACTTCAACCACTCACCATTCTCCAAAGTCGCTCTCACCCTCCACCTCCATCCTCTCCATGAATATATATATCCATTTTAAAAAGTTCATGTGTCATGAAAGGCTCAAAAGCTGTCTTGTATAGCTTTTCTGGTCATCTCTTCCATCCACTTAGATGAATATATGACATCTTTACTTCTCCTGAGACCATTATACTTCTAGAGCTTACTGTATTCTGCCTTGTCTCACCATTACGGCTAATGGATTGCAAGCTCCTCCTGAAGAGTAGTATCCATGTTTGGTTTATTTTGTATACCTCTTAGCACCCAGCAGAGGATCTGCTCACAGTGGGTCATAAGAAGTAGTATGAACACTTATTTCTCTTCGAGATAGGCTAATGTAAATGTACTCTATTGAACTTAGTGTTTGTGATACCTCCTTGTATCATGCCACATTCTCTTTCATGTGAGTTTCTCTAGATTTTCAAGATGCAATGACTCCTTTTTCAAGATGCAGGGACTCCTTTTTTAAAAATTTAATTTATTTTTACTTCTTTAATGTCACCACATATTTGACCCCTTTTACCCATCTGCCTCCCTCTTCTCCCTCTCCCTCGCCCTCTGGTAATCCTTTTTATTAACTAGTTTAATCTTGCATTTTATTTGAATCTCAGCAGTGAGTGAATGATACTTTCTCTTTGGTAGCCTCGTGTGCAAGCTGAACACAAGGACCACCATCCTGGCAGCAACTAACCCCAAAGGCCAGTACGACCCCTATGAATCCGTGTCTGTGAACATTGCCCTTGGCAGCCCACTCTTAAGTCGATTTGACCTGATCCTGGTTTTGCTTGATACCAAGAATGAAGACTGGGATCGTATAATTTCCTCATTTATCTTAGAAAACAAAGGTATGTGGAGACAAACAAATCAAATTGACAAAGAAAAAGTAGATGTAACCAAATAAAACTCTGTTTGAAGACAATTAAATAAATACCCAAGGTACCCTATCTACAAGCAATAGAGAGCCGCTTAAACCAGAAGCGGTGAGAGGAGCCAGTTAATGAACCCAGAATAATGAGCAGAAGATAAAGGGCTTTTCTCTATTTGCCATTGATGAGATTAGAGTTGTGAATATGTTTTTTTGTGATGAAAGGGGGCGATCTTGTGATATGTAATTACTTCTCACCTCTTGCATGCAAAGAGAACTGGACTGAATTATGAAGCAGAAATCTAAATGTGAGCTTCTCTTTAAATTAGATTTATTCAAGTACTATTTATTACTATAGGGCAGACCAGAATTATTCTGAGTAATTTTAACTCCCAGAGGAACCTTACCTTTATTACACTTAGATCCTAAGACTGTTTGTTTTAGAACTATATGCTATGCAAAGACAGGTCTAGATTTCAATGGCCACAAAACCTAAAGGTTATCTTTTTAAAAAAGAGTACAAGAACTTTATCAAAACCCTTTAAATGAGTGTTTGCCGGTTCTTAGAAATTACTGACCCAACACCTGATATATACAGGTTACCCAAGCAAATCAGAGAAGCTCTGGAGCATGGAAAAGATGAAAACCTACTTCTGCCTCATTAGGAATCTGCAGCCCACACTGTCTGATGTGGGTAATCAGGTTCTTCTCCGGTACTACCAAATGCAAAGGCAGAGTGATTCCCGGAACGCTGCCCGGACAACCATCCGCCTGTTGGAAAGCCTGATACGATTAGCAGAAGGTTTATTTCATTCAACACATGAATTTTTTTGTTGGGTACCCAGTACGTACAAAGCTTGGGACTTAGCACCATGAATTCAAAGATGAATAAGAATAATCCCTACTCTGAGGTGCTCACGGTTGCTTACAAAGTAAAGGCTCTGAGCTATGAAACCTCCACTCCTCTGGGAACAGATATGGGTGTTGAGTGAAATGTAGTGTCATTAAGAAAGAGGAATCTTTGTGATCTCAGGACCTCATATAACTTAAGACATCATTCATTCAGAAAGCGTTATTTACTGATGTTGTGTTTCTCAATGGCAGTCTATTAGCATTTTGGGTGGGATACTGCCTTGTTTGGAATTGTTTCCTGTTAGCAACCCGCCATTAACATAATAACATGGAATTAAAAATGCCATGCCCTATTCCATCCCTAGGGTGTGAGGCTTATGTGCAAGCATACAGCTAACATGAATCTCAAGACTTTTTTCTAACATTGGCTTTTACATATAGCCCTTGTTTCAATAATTCAAAAACAATTCACGTGAACTGACTACACCATATCATGACATAATTAATGCTTAACAAAAAGTTCTACAAAACAAATGCACTTCACTTTTTTAAGGATTTATAGCCAGTTTTAGAGCAAGAAATTCCCAAAATTTGGGCTCGCAAGTTGGGTAGCTTTGAAAAACTTGTAGATAAAGAGAAGTGCCAGAGATGAGAAATGAGTTTAATTTTGTGTATTTCTATAATAGACTAGAAAGTGAGGATTAAAAGTTGTTGAATATTAAATATATGCTTTTATAGCCCCTTTCTTTTCTGGAACCCAGGGTACTTTTTCATATAAATACACAGAATTGCCATGGGCTGTGCAGAAGGATTAGGCCTATTATTAGAGAAACAACCTTAAAACTAGTTAAACTTTTGTGCTTATTTAGTAAAATTAATTTGTTAATAGTAGTTCATTCATAAAATATAATTTTGGGGGGATGGCAATCAGATATAGTATTACATTTATCACCTCAAATATTTATTTAAAAAATTCCTATCTTTGTAATTTCAAATGCATCTTATTTTGTTAGCTCATGCTCGCTTGATGTTTCGTGACACCGTGACTCTGGAAGATGCTATTACAGCGGTGTCAGTAATGGAGTCCTCAATGCAGGTAAGGACATTTCGTATCTAATATTTGAACTGTAATTCAAGTATTTTAAAAAAAGATAATATATAGCATATCAAGGGTCATAAAAATGATTATATCCTAGACCTAATAATTTCTGGAAATATAGCCAAAGGAAACCATTTAAAAGAATGAAAAAAGTTGTCATGGAAACATTCTCTGAGTCAGTAGCATTGCTTTTGCCTGTTTAAAGTGGTAGATCTCAATCCTTTTTCTCTTCAACACACTGAGGGATGCTCATGGTCCCACCAGTCAGCGTGTGGCTTCCTAGAACAATGCTTGCCACCAAGAACGGATGAAAAAGTCTCCCGGGTGATTCTGATTCCAAGAGCGGGGTCTGGAGGGCTGTTCTTAGCCACCTGGGATCAGTGGTCCCTAGTGTGCACTTCATCTGTGCAGGCTGGCCTGGTGACTCTCCCCAGTATTTTCTGTTTCTCACCCCTTCAGGGAGGCGCACTGCTGGGAGGTGTGAATGCACTGCACACTTCCTTTCCTGAAAACCCTCTGGAGCAGTACCAGAGGCAGTGTGAACTTATTCTAGAAAAGCTGGAGCTGCACAACCTCTTGAGTGAAGAGCTAAGAAGACTTGAAAGGTGAGAAAAGAAAACTCGTAAAGACCTATAATGAAAAATTCTTGTTTGGCATTTAGTGAAACGAAGGAAGTATAAATTAAATGGAAAATCTGTCAGTATTATCTATAGGGGATTGTTTCATTTATCTATTGCTATATAATCAACAACCCCCAAATTCAGTGGCTTAAGAAAAGAAACACCGTCACCATTTTAGTGCTTACTCTTCTGGGAGTCAGAAATTCAGGAGGGCTCAATGGGGATGGCTTATCTCCACCCCATATAGCGTCAACTGGGGTTATTCATACACCTGCATTTAACTGGGGGGTCAGCTGGGATTGGCACATCCAAGATGGCTTCTGTCACATATGTGGTGCCTTCACTGGACTGGCTGGGCCCTCACTACTGTAGGGTAGTCAGAATTCTGACATGGTAGCTTAGGATCAAATAGAGCAAAAGTAGAAGCTACCAGGCGTCTTATGAGCTGGGCTGGGACTGGTGCAGCATCACTTTCTATAGATCATCATCATATTCTGTAGGTCAGAACAAGTCACAAGGTCAGCCCACATGCATGGTGAATGGAAATAGACAGTACCTCTTGATGAGAAGAGTGGCATAGACATACAGAAATGAGGAAATTTCTTAATGGCTGCCATCTTTGGAGACCATTTTCCATAGCTGTGTTTCCTTGGCTTGCTGGTTTGGTGAACTCATGGAGACTACTGACTTGTTCTTTGCCCTACTTAGTAAGATTTATAACCCTGGGTCACAATTACATGGGAAGCATTAGGCAGGCTACCCACACTTTATACCCAAGATTCACAGTTATTGTGGAATCAAGACGCTTTGGAAAATGGGCTTTATCATGTTTGCTACCACTTCTTCCTCTTCTCTTTCTTTGGCTCAATATAAGAAGTAGAGCAATCCCATTCAAAGAGGCTGCTGGGACTGCTGTTCAGAAAGAGGAAGTTAGACTCCGGAAGAGCTATCTATCCCAGGCCAGACCCAGACACAGAATATTTTAAGAACTTGGCTGTATCATTTTTCCTCACCAGGAGAAGACATGTGCAAGGGAATTTACACAAAGAATCTTAGTGTTCATTAATATTTTAATTTTATTCTTATTGTTTTTAAAGCTTTCTTCCAATCATAATAAATATTTAGTCATTAGTCTTCCCATAACCCTGGTGAGAGAAAATCACAGGTAGAAAACTGAGGCCCAGAATGGTTGGGGCCAGCCTAAGCTAGTGTATGGAAAAAGCCACATACTAAGTAGAGATAACCAGTGCTGACTTACACCTGGGAAAGGCCCCCCTACTTCATTAGTGGTGCCTGTGACCCTCCCTTAAGCATCATGATTTTCCTTCACTACATGCCCAAATTCACAACTTTAAAAAATTAACATAAGTCTACAGCCATGCCTCCCTGAACGTGCCCGATCTCGTCTGATCTCGGAAGCTAAGCAGGATTGGGCCTGGTTAGTACTTGGATGGGAGACCACCTAGGAAGACCAGGTGCTATAGGTGTTTTAGAAAAATTAACATATTTAATAGACTAAAAATATCCCCAGTGAGAATGATGTATTTTATGTTAAAGAGGAAGATCCATTTTTCATCCTACAGGGTAACGACTCAGGAATAAGAAAAGCAGTGTTTCAAAACTCATCTTTCTAATGACTTGTTAAAATGTGGACATATGGGAAGGAATCTGTCATGTGTATTGCCTGAAGAATTTTTGCCTGAACTTTATTGTTTGCGTGTTCCCTAAATACATGATCTTCTAAAAAGCTAGACTTTGAGTGAAACAGGAATGAGGAATTTGTATCTATTTGAGTATCTTCATGATCAGTTGAGTGGCTTAATAATTGGCCTGAACCTGGTTATTGGTGTTGATCCTGAAGCTGTGAATTGGTTAATGACGTATATATGACAGTGGGGCAGCTACAGAAAGACATGTGGAGCCCACATTGAGATTGTTGACTGTATTAAGTAAAACCTTGAGAATTCCTTTCCTGGCTTTTCTCTCCTTTTCACTCACTCCCTTCATCCAGCAGCATTCTCTTTCTAATTTACAAAACCTCAGCACAGCCTTCCTGGGAAAGCATGGGGCTGGCTTTGTCCTGCTAACACCCAGATGCCAGTCTGCAGTAAATTTGCACTTTGTACAAAATCAACCCTCTTTGCTTTTGGTCTCCTGGTTTTTTAATGATCCAGAGCATGGTGTTAAGATCAAAGCTATTCCTTCGGTTCTTTTATGATTTGATATAGTAGATCCTTTCCAGGCCTGCCCTGGGCTTGGCTTTGCTTTTAGAGAGGCTGCTCATTTTGACTTACCAGAAACTAATCATTTTGACTACCAAAAACATGCTGGTTTCAGGAATTGTGAGGCTCAGAATCAGTGTTATGTGATAGAAGAAACAGTGATTGGACTTAGCAAATTCAAAATGACTCTACTGGAAGGAAAAAAAAGTAGATGATATAAAAGATGGGATTCTGCCTTAAAATGTTCTTTTCTTCTGATTTTTCTTTATAATGTGGGGCCCTGTTTGGCATTGATGTCATAGCAACAAAATCAGGTGCCCCACAAATGAAAGTGAGTTACTGCTGAAACACAACCTAAAGCTAATCTTATCAAATGAGAAAACCCCAAGTAGCATATGGGTTTTTATCCCCTTAGGAAAGAGTTCTCTATGTCTTAAGGAGATCACAAATCAATAATAAAACTATTTGTATTTTTATCACATTTTTCTTCTAGAAAATGGTGTTTAGTGCAGCCTGCCTCAAATGGTGCCCATTCTGCCCACTTCAAATCAGAGTGCAAAGATGCTGCTGTCTTTTGGAAGCTGTAGTAAAACTGCAAACATTTTATGTAGGGGAGAATTTAATTCCTAAAGTCAGAATTAGACCAAAATAGTAGGGCTAAATTATTCTAGCCCTGAAAATTCCCTATCTTTTAGGACATTGTTATGGAGCTCTAACAATTATGAGTATCCTTGACCTCAGTTTGATGCTGAAAGTATACTAGACAGTAGTAATTGTGAAAGCTATATTTGTTTTGTTGGTTGGTTGTGACTACAGTGAACATGGATTTGCTGTGTTGATGCTTCTAAATTTACCATGTGCCATGCGTGACTATAACCCAGTATTTATACAATAAAATTTTTGTTCCGCATTGTAAGAGGTAATACATGTTCTTTATAGAGTATTTTGAAAAGTAATAGTAATGAATTAATAAGAAAATAAAAATCACATATAATCTTATTTCCCAGAGAAATCTACCATTAATATTTTAATGTATTTTGTATATTTCAATTTAAAATTCATTTAAATTTAATGTATTTTTTCCTATTCTTTTTCTATGATTACACATATTTTTAGAATAATTTATTCTTCTGCTTTTTGGTGTAATGCCTCTTCAGATTTAGTACATGGAAGCAAGGTCATGTTGCCCTTTATGCTGAAAAGGCATTTCTAGGTTGTTAGGAAGGGCTTTCTAAAGGACTTCCTTTTGAGACACTGCAATCTCTGTTAGAAATTGGTCCTCTGGCATTATTCAGTTTCCTAATATGCCCAAGATTTAAAATGGATGTCACTGATCAGATCCCTCATTCAGGGAGGGTCAGTAGGTTTTTGGTTTTGTTTTTTAACTTTTTTTTTTTCTTTTAAATTTTTATTTTCCAATTAGAGTTGACATTCAATATAATCTTCTTTAGTTTCAGGTGTACGGCAGAGTGGTTAGACATTTATATAATTTATGAGGCGATCACCCTGATAATACTCACCTGGCACTAAACATAGTTATTACTGTATTATTGACTATATTCCCTATGCTGTACTTTACATCTCCATGATTGTTTTGAAACTACTAATTTGTACTTCTTAATCCCTTCACCTTTTTCACCCCTCCTCCTAACTCCCCTCCCATCTAGCTATCATCAGTTTATTCTCTGTATCTATGAGTCTGTTTTCGTATCGTTTGTTTGTTTATTTTGTTCCTTAGATTCCATATATAAGTGAAATCATATGGTATTTGTCTTTCTCTATGTGACTTATTTCACTTACCATAATAGCCTTTAGGTCTATCCATGTTATTGCAAATAGTAAGATTTCATTTTTACCATTTGCAATAACATGGATAGACCTAAAGGGTATTATGGTAAGTGAAATAAGTCACATAGAGACTTATCCATGGCTGCGTGATATTCCCTTGTATATATGTGCATCTTTTTTATCTAATCGCCTATTGATAGGCGCTTAGGTCGCTTCCATATCTTGGCTATTTTAAATAGTACTGTAGTGAACATAGGGGTGAATTATTGTTTTGGTTTTCTTTGGATAAATACTCAGAAGTGGAATTGCTAGATCATAAGAGTCAGTTGGTTTTGACTCTGTATCAACTTGGTGGAGAGTAGCTGCCCAGAATACATTTTGACATGGCTGGGCTTTACAGGAAAGATGTCACAGTTGCATGGGGAGGTCTGCCATGAATATGAATACTAGAGAGGTTTGTGGGAGCCATGGGTACAGAGTGATCATGGTCTCTTTACTCTTGAGGAAGATGATTTTGTAGATGCCCTAAATTTAGTACCTCTTTTAGGTAAAGAGATGTGAGAAGTCATAATTTCTAGTCTTACACTTTGATTCTGATCTGGAAACTAGCTGTTACGCAAGTAGAACTACTTTCTTGATCAGCAATAAGCTTCTGTATAAATAGCTGCAACTTTGTCTTGCACTTGCGCATGTAATACAAGAGATAAGAGTGAGCATTTTACATTGATCTTTAAACAATCTTAAATGAATTAAATGAACTTTCAGAGAGAACTAGAACTGCAGACAAACTCGCTACTTTGTTTTCTCTATTTTACTACAGTTTCAGATTGAATTAGAATGATTATTGGAGCACTTAAATTCTGTTATGATGAAAAAGGATCATTTTTTCTGCTATTCTAAGACACTGTATTTGGTATTAACTTGAAATTATGTTGGACTTAACCCTTTAAATGACATCTCAGACACTAAAGAAATGAGAAGATTAAAGCAAATTCTCTTCCCTTCAGTATATGTTTTCTTTCTTTATTTCTGCTACAGGTTACAGAATCAGAGTGTGTACCAATCCCAACCACAGGCGGTGGAGGCAGAGACTACTCCCGGACCCTCGAGAAATGATCCCGGGGAAGAATCCCAGTTCAGAACATCAACACAGCAGGAAATGAACTGTAGCATGCGTATCCCCTCTCCTGGAGGCAGTCCCAAGGGGAGCTCACTCCTCCATCCCCCACCCCATCTGGAGCCTAATAGGTCAACAAGTAAACATTCAGGAGAGCACAAAGATAGCAGAGATGACAGTTTGGATTGGTTTGATTCCATGGCAACTCATCAGGTTGAACCTAACAACACTGTTCCTGTGTCTCCTGGTCCTAAAACAACTGGGGGAAAAATAGCTTTGAAAACCTCCAACAGCAGATCTCAGGGCAAAGAAAAGAGTGAGCTAGGCCAAAAGAGCAAATTGGAAACTGGACAGCTTCCAACACCAGGAGAAACAGAAGCTCCATTAAGGCCAGACAGTGTTGAGGGTAAAAAGGAAAAAAAGGCAGCAGCAGTAACTGCTGATGAACCAGATTCAGTTCTGACTCATCATGTCCCCAGGAAACTGCACAGGCTGCGCAAGGAGAAGGCCCGGGAGATATGTGGAAATCCCTCCAGGGCACCTTCCCAGCCCACAAGCCTTTCTCGTCCTCCATCCATCCCTGTACACAGCTCAGAAAGAACATTGGACACTCTCAAAAGAAAGAGACAGCAGTCCCTTGCTCAGGCAGAAGAGCCTGAACTTGAAAGGACCGAGAGTCCAGATCTCCCTGTGGCCAAACTGGCAAAATTTACTTTCAAACATAAGGCAAAACTGATCCGCTCCCCTGAAGACCACAGCCATATGTCTCCTGACACAACTAAAATAGCAGTTCAGAGTCCTAAAATTTCCCAGCATGGAACTAGAAATGCAGCTCTTCCTGTGAAGAGTCCAGAAAAGTTGGCCTCTGCCTCAGGAAACGGAAGCTCAGATCAGCTGCAGGGGAAGGCAAAGGAGGTGTCACAGCAGCCACCAAAGGAAGATGGGTCAAGAGAGAAGAGGGAACATGCCCCTGAAAAGGTAGTTATTCAGCCTGAATTTGAGTTTCAGAGTGAGACTAGGCGTTTACGTCTTCCTTGTGAAAGAGACAAAAAGGAAGAGCTTTCATGCAATAATAAAAGCAGCAGGGTTCATGCTTGCACATTAGCCAAATTGGCCAACTTCTCCTTCACTTCCTCTGACTCCAAATCAGAAGCCCCTCTTCCTTCTGAAAGTAAGAACTGGGGTAAGAGAGGCCCAAGCCCTCCTCCCACGACCACAGCTACAATGATTGGCAGGGAAAGGAAATCTTTTCAGTTGGCGGGGTCCACTGAACCATTCATTCTTTCCAAAAAATCTCTCTTTACCTTACCTGAACTAGAAGACGAAGCATTGGATTTTGATTGGGACGAAGAAATGAAAAAAAAGCCATAATCATGGAAAGTCATGATTTACCCTCCCTGACTCAACACAGCACCCTGGTCAAACTTTACCCTCCCTGACTCAACACAGCACCTTCAGGGTACCAACATGGTGTTTACATATGTACAGAATTGTGGGCCATGTGGAGCCTTACTCTGAATACCAGCTCCCTCATCAGGTTTTATAATTTCAGTTTTATCTTCATGACTCGAAAGGTTATTTAATCAGTGTAGGTCAGTGATAGCAGCATTTGAATCAGATGAATTGACATTGTGCATAATTTTGCAGACGGAGTACTTGTATTCCCAAAGATGTTTCTGTTTTGTTTTTAAGGAGTGGGTCTTCCCGGTAACCCCTCTTTCATTCACTCAGGAACAGTTGCTAGGAAGGAAGTGCTATAAAGCTAACAAGTTTGATGAACTCTTCTATATGTTCCTTTTTGTTTTCTTTTCCCCACATGGTGTTCTGAGTGTGGCGAATATTTATTATGATTTGACAAAAATCATGATTTTTCTAGTATTTTTGTGTTTATTACATGTCAGATTAAATGTGACTAATGTTTTTCTTTCTTTGAGAAGCATCCTCACAATTCCATGGTATTCCTAAAGATCTGGCAATTGGTCAAATAGTCTCTTTCTGAAGTATTGACCTTTTGAGTTTTCCTTCCTTTCTTGAGCCAACATTTTGTGCTTCAGATTCTTTTGATCTTTTGAGAACTTTTCTTCAACACAACTTAAGTCCTGTGGTTGGAAGGAGAGTGTGCAGTAGTCTCAATGATATTTCATGACATCACCATAGTGGTTAATATGGAAATTTAATTCCTGCTAAATGTAATTCCTTGGTTTGTCTTTAAAACCAAGCAAATGACTGTTTGGTACAAATAGATAACTCAAGCTTTGTCTTAAGTCCTTTTAAAATATGTCTTCTTTTGGATTCTAACAGGTGCTGTTAGGAATCCATAATTACAAGATTTCTCCTGTGAGGTATGAATTTATAAAAAATAATAATAGTAGATTCATTGCCTGAGTGACTTTTAGGCATGAAAAATACTCAAAACTATATGTACTTTGCTTAATAATCACTTCTTTAAATTTATACAGAAAAAAAATTAGGAACCCCAATTTTTCTTGAGCATTTAAACATTAATTCCAAAATCAACTAATTAAATTTTCTAGAAAATTTAAACTAAGAGTACAAATTTAGTATAGATGAGTCTTTTAAAAATCTTTAAAGACCTTAAACAGCTCACAAAGGACATACATAGCGGTGATTATAAAATTTATTATTGCACATTCATTTAAGCCTATTCTTAAACATCAAGACTGGTTTAGTAATTTCTTCGTTAATTCTGTACTTAATAACTTCCCAGCGTAGTATGATTATGTAATATGTCATACTATGTATATCATATGTTAATGTAATATTGAAAAATTAAACTTGTATCACAGCCTACTTTGGTGTAACAACTACCTTGCTTTGCTTGTATTCAATGCGCAAAGTCTCACAACTTGTTTCACAGGAAATCCTTTTATGTTGACCTTTCATGACTCTGACATTTCTGAAAGCATCCATGCTATCTGAAAACAACAGCATGTTCCTGACCCATTTTGATTTTTTTTCTTGTCTCATATCATAGAATCAGCTATCCCGAAGGCACTCCATTTCCTTTAGAGGCCAAACTCGGGGGTCTCAGAGATGCACAGAGGAGTCAGCAGTGGGCAAAAGTACTATCACGGCTGTTGGGTCCCTTGTCATAGTTCCAGAGCTGAAAATATTTAATGTTCTGAAGTCACATTATTTTATCCTGCTGTGTCCTACTTTTCTTATAGAATGTGATTTTACAACAACTGAGACTTTCTGTTACGTGGTATTACGTGTGTACCCAAGGAGCACATAAGTGTTTCAGGGAAATATGTACAGTCTCAAAAATCATGTATCTGGTCAGTAAAGGAATGTGTAAAAATAGCCTTTAATTCTGAATCAACATGTCAGAATATTTTTATTTTAGGCCACTGGACTCTTTGTAAACATTTTAATAATATAAAAATTTTTAAACACAATAAAAGCTATACATGATTTCTTTGTGAGAGGCCCAAATTAGATATTTAATTCTATTGTGACTGTATAAAGAATTGAGTTTTCTGACACTAAAAGATACACTCTTTGTGTTTATGTGGTATTCTAAAATTTATAATAGGGATTTTATTGTAATTTTTAGTGTTTCTTAGAAATACAAAACAAGCGTATTATTCTGATATCTTTAACTCTTTGGCTGAATTTAACCAAACTTTAAACTTTTCCAGAAAATATACCAAAACTTTAGTAATAGAGATCTTTTCTTGGTTGACAAATTTTAATTCTAGCAAATCTACATATTCTTTATATGTATATTGTATTTGATTTCTATGCCTTCCTAAGTGCTAAATCTGCCTAGCTGGTGGTATTATTACTGGAATACCAACTCTAGCGAAAATCTCAGCTCAACCACAAGGAGGATCCCTAAAGCTCACTTTTAGCCAATGCAAAAGTGATATTTGGGAGTTCAGAGCAACCTACCCTGAAAGTCTAGGTCATTAGGCACTACCCCGAATCAGGTTCATCTTTCAGATGCAGCTTATCAGACAACTTAATTTCAAATTTAACAAACTCACATTGTGGAACGCCTGACTGGTGCATATTCCTCCGAATTCAGACTGACATCTTCCATATTTTTTTTTAATTAATTTTTTTGATGGTGACATTGGTTAACGAAATCCAGTAAGTTTCAGCTGTACATTTTAACAGTAAGGCATATATATATTTACACTGTGTGTTCATCTCCCATAGTTAGATTTCTTTCTGTCACCACATATTTGACCCCCTTTACCCATCTATCTTCCCCATCCTCCTACCCACTACCTTATTTTTAACATGCAAGAAAGATAAAAGAAGGCTCCTGGCTCACATTAATACTCATTCCAATAGGGGTTTTGCTATCTGTGTCCCATCTCACAGGTGACATAGGCCCCTATGCTTAAGGGGAGCCATTATCCACACACATTCCCTTCACTGTCACTCAGAGGACATACACAGGAAGCTGTTCCAACTGTCTCCTATGACTAACTCTTTCGTTCTTATAACAGTTCCACTGTCTCCCCTCTTAAAGGCTTCAAAATGCATCTACGGGTAATATTTGTAAACGTGAACTTAACAAATATTACGTTAGGCTTAACTAAATTATTGATTTTATCTATGTAAACTCTCCAGTTCAAGATGTCATCCAAGAAGAGAAATAGAATCTACACGCTGGACCTGATCTCACCAAATAGTAGTGTGTGTTATTTATCTTGTGAGCACAGATGTTTTTTTAGGCCACTGTTCTTTATATTTTGTTGGCACCTTAAACTTTGGCTGAGTTGAAACACCAGAAAGCAAGTATTTTTATCAGGTGCATTTTTGTGTGGAGACAAACTTGGTTTAATTGAGGACTTTCATAATAAATCAAGCCAATGTTGAAATAGGTCACTTAATATTTCCGATCTAACTTTTTCAGTGCCTACTCATACGTAAAGGAAATCAGGTGATTTGGGTTCTAGAACTGAATGATCACTAGCCAGCAGTGTGACCACGCTGTCTTTAATGTTCTCATCCCTAAAAGCAGAGGAGTAGGTGTTTCTGATTCAGGTATTCTTCAGTTACAAAAAAGGAAACCCTCAGTGGCTAGCTGAAATAAAAGTGGATTTGCTCTAAGAATACAGCAGGGAGTCTCATTCAGGGCAGGAAACAAAGTCTAACCAGGCTACATCGCCCTAGAACTGGAAAGCTCTCAGCCTCTCCTAGGTCCTCAAGGGTTCTTGTCCCTGCTTTGCTTGGTGAGTGCTCTCCCATTTACTGCCCCTCTCCATGGTCCTGTTTTCTGTGTCAAGGCTTCTCAGCTAAGTACCTTGTGGCTTTTGATCTGCTTTGGGGCTTGGCTCTAACTGTTCCTTAGTCTGACCCTTCCAGATGATGCACCTACTTTCATCTTACTGATTCAGGCTCTGTGTTCAAGAGGAACTGGGGGTGAGGGGGCCAGTAGCCACCTGGTACAAACAGCAGCCAGAGCCTCCAAGAGTGTGGGATGGGAGGCAGTGATTGGCCATTCTACCACATTTCTGTCTTCACAGGGTTTGGGGTTATAAGTTCTATAATTCTACAACCTTTATTGTTTCTATTAATGAGTTGAGAGAGCATGCCTCTAAAGGTAGCTGGATCATCTTTCCCAAGGCAGCCATGTAAATTCCTAACCTGACAGCACACAGCTGTTTTTCAGTGATTGCAAGCCACTTTCGGCAGTGTTGAAAGTGCAGCCTGTATTACAGGCCACAGAGGAAGCTCTTTACTGTGTCACTGGTTTTCAAGCTTCCATTTTCTGGTGAATAAATTACTCATAACTACATCATATCTTTTAGAATGAGTCCCAAACCCCCAGGCCACGTTTGGGGGCCACTGTTTTAGAAATACTTAGGTGAAAGTCAAAATAGATGAGAGCATGTGAAGGAGATTACTGTGAAATATACTTTAGCAATAATCTCTGTAGTTAAGACACATGTTAACATTTTCCAGCTCTTCAACTTTGTAACTGCCAACAAAGCCGGGGACTAGATCCACCATGAGGAAAGGCAAATATGTAAGTGTTATAGGCCTACCTTTATCCTTTTAGAATTACAGATAACCCAGAATAGTTTCAAATTGAGGATTCATGTAATATTGATTTTTAATCTTATCGCAGTTGGGAGATTAAACTGCTTTTTAAAAAGGAGAACTCAAAGCTGCTTGAGAGATCTTCCATAACAATAATCTTTGATTTGCTGTCCTTGAGGGGACTCAGTGTGAATAGAGAATGACACTGTTATTTTTTTGCCTAGGGCACAGAAATCCCTGCAGACTCCTTTGTTCATAGACCTTGCCCCTAGGAACTACTAAAGGTCAAAGTAAATAAAGAATTTTCATAACATGATCCATCCTTGAATGAGAAGGTACCTGCCAGACACCGCCTAGTTGTTTTTCTTCCCAATGTCATATGTTCATGAAGATTACAAAAGCAATGAAATTTTAATTTCGTTATTAGACATGTAGATATAATACTTTTCTGCAAAAAATGCTAAAACGAGTCTCAAAGTTCCTCAGAAACTTTTTTAATACTTAGTTTTCAAAACATACTTAATATATGACATTTGATTTTCACAACAGCCACTAATATTCATAATTTAGGTGATGCCCCATTTTACAAATGAGGAAAAAGCTTAAATGTGATTTTTTAAAAAATGTCTTTACCATACCTTATTTGAAATAAGATTAGGTTCTGAAATATATACTTCCCAATTCCTTCCCTCACTTTTTATTGCTCCATTAATGTTACACAATTTTGAATAGGTTAGGGTAGCCTGCCCTGAGAGGCCCCCAATTCCTTCCCTCACTTTTTATTGCTCCATTAAAAATTATATCTATTGATAAGGGGTAAAAGTTATGTTTAGATTACTTAGTATGTGGTATGTACTAGTTATTCTTTAAGCATTTTTCAATACTTAGATGAATGTATTAATTCACTCAATCCTCCCAATAAGCTAGAGTGTAGGTAGTATTATATCATTTTACAAATTAGGTAACTGTGGCTTAGAGATAGATCAAAATAACTTGACCAAAATTTCATTACTGATTTCAACCTACCTAAAGAGGTAAACTGAGGCAAGCTCGTTACAAGAAATAGAGTTTATTCAGGAATGGCAGAGGAATTGCAGTTCATGAAAGGATACAGGCTACAGCCAAGTCCATTGAGGGTTTGGGAGCAGAGTGCTATATTTATGGGCAAGGAGTTCAAAAAGCGGGGAGTCCAGCCAGAGTCCACGCAGTAAGTTCATTGACTTGAGGATGGGGAGAAATTCTTGGCAGATGTTCCTTGGTCAGGATATAAGTCTCAGTCTTCTGTAAATCAGGCATTTATGGGAAATCAGTCTCAGTTCTTAAGTCCCAGTCTTCTGAGGACACAGGAGTGAGATTCTTTATTTCAATCCTTTGGTTCCGTTTTACATTGAAATCCTTTTAGTGATATAATACCTACATTAATTCATAAAAGGAGAGAAAAGTATTACCCGCAAGAAAAGTATTACCTGCAGGAAACCCATCAATTTGCCAGTCTCTTAGTCCACTTCCCACCATACACACATCTTTTCCAGGACATGCTCCACATCTCCTGGCTTCTCTTTATTATCATCAATGTACTGTCCATACTTCTAGCTGAAGAAAAACCTTCAGCCTAGATCCCAATCCCTCTTGCCTACTCTAGGACGTGTCTCCAGCAATTCTCCCCTCACTCCTGCTTCATCACTTTTCCTGTCTACTATATCATTTCCACCAACATAGAAATATCCTGATATTTCTCCCATCTTATAAACAACAAAAATGTCTCTCTCGACCCTACTTCCCTCTCTATGCCTCTGTTCCCCCTTTT